CTTATGTGGTGCTGAGGAATCGAACCCAGGGCCTCATGCATGCAAGGCAAGCGTTCTACCACTGTGCCACCTTCCCAGCCCCATCCTTGACTATTTTTGTATTTGCTAAAAGGCACTCTCTAGCTGTAGGTAAGTCATAGGCAACCAATAACCTGAGAAACAGGAAGTAGATTCAAACTTCAGTCATCACAGTGATGTGGGAAGAGAGCCTTGCTCTATCTTGATGCAGGACTGACATCACTCACCCAGTCCCTGAGATCTATATATGGTCATTTATAATAATAACATTATATATATATATATATATTTTTTTTTTTGGTTGGTTGTGGGGCTTGAACTCTGGGCCTGAGTGCTGTTCCTGAACTCTTCAGCTCAACGTGAGTCCTGTACCACTTGAGCCACAGTGCCACTTGTGGTTTTCTGGTGGTTAAGTGGAGACAAGAGTCTCACTGACTTTCCTGCCTGGACTGGCTTTGAACTATGATCTTTAGATCTCAGCTTCCTGAGTAGCTAGGATCACAGGCATGAACCACTGGTGCCCAGCTAATTATAATATATAATTATAATTAGCTAAAGATAGCTAATCCTGCAGGCCCCACTAACACCAGACTTAAGCACTGTGGGGTCTATGTTCCAGCTCACTGCATTCAGCTCTGTGATGGTCACAACCAGGCACCGCCCGTCTCAAGGGCTCATAGGTAAATGCAAACCAGCTTCTACTGGTGCCTCAATTTCCCCACTTTGATTTCAAACAACTTGAATTGCTAAAGTGGACTCATTCCAGCAAATTGAACGAAAGTGCCCTTTTGGTTAATAGCAGACATGCAGGTATGTAATGTGTGCTCTCTCTCTTTCTCAGTTCTGGTGCCATATGGCCATAATTACTAATAACAGTAAGACTTAGAACCATCAGGGAAGCACATCAACATGTAAGCAGGGCTGGTACCCTCCTTACATGCTGTCAGGGCAGTTTCACCAGCAGGTGCACTCAGCTAATTCTGGACACCAGGAGCTCCATTTTTAGATGGGCACAGCCAGAAGGTCAGCTCCTGAGTGCACTTATATAAACAGTGTCCCGAGCATTTTCACTTCCAGGTGGATCACAAATGCTCAGGTATTTAAAAGATCCAAACCAACTGGGAATCCTTTCCTTCACTCAAGTGATGTTCAAGTGCATTTTTAATAGTCATTGTTTGACCTTTGGATAAACCCTTTAGTTCAGTTCTGCATTGCACCCTCTCCTTAGGAATGCAGGCCTCTGTGACAATTGCCAGGGTGCCTTTGAGGTACAGAGGACCATGCAGAAGGGAGACGAGGCCTACCGCAAGAGGTCTGGGGTGGTGTGTAGAGAACTGACAGTCTAATTTCTCAGATTCCTCGGCTCCATCCATCTCTCCTTCATCACTGGACAGTCGGCTGGCAAGATCACCTCCTACTGGGGGTAGAGGAGGCTCTGGAGTGTAGCTGCTGAGATTTGAAGATGCATTGCTGCTTATGCTATTTGCAGATGATGGTCTAAAAGCAAGGGGAAAAAATAAACAGAATCAACTTTTCTGACGAAACATGACCCATCCAGTGTCATGGTGCCCAGATTAACCTTAGTATTGTGTCAGGGAAGGCAGGTCGATGGTAATGTTTGTAAAAGAAGGCAGAAAGCTTAAGTGATAGCTTTGTTTAGAGGAGTTAGGTTCTCCTCTGCTTGTTGTCTCTGAGGTGAAACTATTCGGTCATTTGTGTGTAAGTAATCTGTATTTGTCATAATTTGCTTCTCTTTGACAGTGAAATCTGACAGGCTGATCTTCCAACCAGGTGAACAAGAGCAGACCACTCAACAACAAAATATCAGTCATGAAGAAACAGTCTTGTAAATACTGTCTTTGATATTTTTGGTGGAGTGGCAGTGGTGGTACTGGAGTTAGAACTCAATTTTGACTTAGCCAATAACCTGTTTTGCTTTAGTTATTCTTCAAATAGAATCTTGCTATTTTGCCCAAACCATGATCCTCTAACCTTCACTTTGTGAATAGCTGATGACAGGTGTGAACCACATCTGAATTTTGCTTTTTGTGCCAGTACTGACTTGGGTGCTGTCTCTTATCTGTTTTTGCTCAGGGCTAGTACTCCATTCCTTGAGGCACAGCTCTACTTCTGGCTTTTTAGTGGTTAATTGTAGAGAAAAGTCTATCATAAGCCAGGCACTGGTGGCTCACGCCTGTAATCCTAGCTATTCAGGAGGATGAGATATGAGGATCACAGTTCAAAGCCAGCCCAGACAGGAGAGTCTATGAGACTCTTATCTCCAATTAATAACCAGAAAACCAGAAGTGGCACTGTGGTTCAAGTGGTAGAGGGCTGTCTGGGAGCTGAAGAGCTTAGGGACAGCACCCAGGATCAGACTTCAAGCTCCATGACCACCACCACCACCAAAAAAAAAAGGTCTATCATTGACCTGGGCTGGCTGGGAACCACAAATCTTCAGATCTCAATCTCCTGAGTAACCAGGAATATAGGTGTAAGCTATTGGCTCTAGGTGCTGTTTTTTTTTTCTTCCAGGTATGGTCACACTAACTTTTGTCTGGACTGGTCTTGAAGCAATGCTCCCATCTCTACATATTGTTGTAGATGGGATAACAGTCATGAACCCCCGATGCCCAGCCCCTCTTTCTTAGTTATTAAACTATGATTTCATGAAACTTATCCCGCTGGCATGAAGCAAGGTTCTGTCTCAGTAATGGGGCTACTAATCCTGTACCCTAGTTATGCTTGTTTCAAAATATAGAGCTGTATGTAGCTTAATAGGATCTTCTGGGAATAAGTGTTTCAATTTATGTATGTAAGTATTTATTTTTGTTTATTTATCTTTATTTATTTATTTTTGTTTTGGGGATTGAACTCCGGGCCGGGATGCCATCTCTGAGCTTTTTTGCTGAAGGCTAGTGCTCTATCACTTTGAGACACAGCTCCACTTCCTATTTTTGGTGGGTAATTGGAGATAAGAGTCTCAAGGACTTCAAACCATGATCCTCAAGTCTCAACCTTCTGAGTAGCTAGAATACAGGCACGAGCCACCAGTACTGAGGGGTTAGAATATCATGAGCAAGGTAATGAGTACATTTCTTATCAAGCATTGTTGCCTCTTCCTTTGTTTCCCCTTCCCATCTCTTCCCATCCCCCCCCTTTCATTTTAATTTTTGACAAGCCATAAATTTACTGCCTGGCATGGCTGGCTTATCGTTGGGTGACAGAGAGATTTTTTTTTTCTCAATGAAGGAATGCAGGAATTCTATGAGACAGTCTAGCAAATGTTCTTTCAGTTATGTTTTCAGTGAAAACAAAACAAGGTAAACCCATCTATGTTAGCAGAAAAGTCAGAGAAGGGAAAGCTGTTCTTTGTAGTTTTTACTACTTTGTCATTTTCATCCAGTGGCTGACCAGGGAGAGTGGTAAAGACATGAGAAAAGAAGTTTTAGGGGAATAGAAATCAAGAATTTTTTAAAAGGCAAATTGTTTTTCTGCTTTGAAAGCTACCCCTTCAAATCACAGGAAGCAGTGCTTTTGATTTGTCAAGTTTCCTTCTTGTTTTTACCCTGGATTCTTTGTTGTCTTGAAATCTTTTCAGGTATCAGACATCTGAAGGCAAACCTGATTCCAAAAGCAGAGTAGTCACTATTTTTAAAAACAAAGCCACAAAGGTGGGAACCCCCAAAATGCCCATCTACAGATGAATAGATAAGCAAAGTGTGACATAAATAAACCTGCCCAAAGGACAATAGCAGCTGATTCCACTTATATGAGATAAAAGAATAATTATCAGCCAGGTGATGGTGGCTCACACTTGTCATCCTAGCTACTCAGGAGGCTGATATCTGAGGATCACAGTTTGAATCCAGCCTGGGCAGGAAAGTGACACTCTTCTCTCCAATTAATCATTAAAAAGCCTGAGTGGCACTGTGGCTCAAGTTGTAGAGAGCCAGCTTTGAGCAAAAGGAGCTTAGGGACAACCCCCAGGCCCAGAGTTCAAACCCCAAGATCAGCAAAAACAAACAAACAAACAAACAAACAGTAATTATCAGCTAGAAGAGGGAAGAATGGGCTGGGCACTGGTGGCTCCACTTGTAATCCCAGCTTCTCAATAGGTTGAGGTCTGAAGGATCACAGTTTAAAGCCAGTCCTGGTAGAAAAACCTAAGAGGCTTCATCTCTCAAATAAACAGCAAAAAGCTGGGCTAGAGGCATGGCTCAAATGGTAGTGCCAGATAAGCAAGCAAGCTGAATGAGTACAAGACTGAATGAGTGCAATGATGAGTACAGTTCAAACCCCAGAATGACACATATAACAAGTTTGGCTTAGATGGTTGAGCACCAGTCATGAGCAGGAGAGAGAGGAATGGAGAGTTAGTGTTTAATGGGTACAGAGTTTCAACTGGATGGTAAACTCCCATACTATTGTACTATGGTGTATAATGAGCAGAACAAAGGTAAACAAAGCTACAGATAGCTTTTGGCTTTGTCATTATAAAAATTTGGTTAGGAGAACAATTTACTATTGATGTTGACATTCCCGTTCCTATTTTTTAAAAAAAGGATTCAGATTGGGGGTCTAGATGAAATGGTAGAGCACTTGGTTTCAGGCCCTGGTTCAACCTCCAAGACCACCAAAAATATAGTAAATAAAAATTAAAACAAGGATGCATTTAGCCTGCATAGGCCTATGGTCCGAAGCAGACGTCTGGCCCTTCATCCCTGCTCTTTTGTGTCAGAAGGAAGCTACACTATTACCTACTTCTAGCTGGAAACCAAAACAGTAAAACCATTTTGATGATGCTGAAACACAGAAAGAAAACAGCATCCAGAAATCCTATTTTGCCACTCAAGATCAGGTACTACTGGCATTTTGATTTTTGTCTTTTCAGATTTTTTTTTTGTGGGGGTGCTGGTTTTGGGGTTTGAACTCAGGGCCTGGGCACTCTCCTGAGCTATTTTGCTCAAGACTAGTGCTCTACCACTTGAGCCACAGCTCCATTTCCGACTTTTTTTTTTGGAGGGGGTTGGGGGTACTTAATTGGAAATAAGAGTCTCACAAACATTCTTGCCTGGGCTAGCTCTGAACCACAATCCTTAGATCAACCTTCTGAGTATGTACATACTATTTTTTACGCTTAGTGATATTGTAGAAGTCTTCTAAAGTATTATCAGTTTTTATAGTTTCCAATAATCCCTATCTGTCACATTTTACTTAAATCCTCTCATGAAGAGTGTTTGTTTCCAAATGTTTTAATAAGCTCCCATTGAACCCCTCACCGTCACAGCAGGACCTCCGGGTCCTGCAGGATGAAAGGGAACTGCACTTTGTTAAATGCAATAATAGCATCATGGTTATACAGGAAGTTATCTTTACTCTTTTTTTTTTTTTTTCTGGATGTGGGACTGGAACTCTGGGCCTGGGTGCTGCCCCTCAGCTCTTCAACTCAAGGCTAGCACTCTACAACTTGAGCCACAGTGGTTTTGTGAGTAGTTTATTGGAGAGAAGAGTTTCACAGACTCCTGTCCAGGCTGGCTTTGAACTACAATGCTCACATCTTAGTCTCCTGAATAGCTAGGATTATAGGCGTGAGCCACCAGCGCCACCCGGCTCTTAACTTTTTTTTTTGGTTGGTCATGGGGCTTGAACTCTGGGCTTGGGCACTATCCCTGTGCTCCTCAGTTCAAGGCGCGCGCTCTGTCCCTTGAGCCATAGCACCACTTCCGGTTTTCTAGTGGTTTATTGGAGAAAAGAGTTTGACGGGCTTTCCTGCCCGGGCTGGTTTTGAACTTCGATCTCTGCCTCCTGAGTAGCTAGGATTACAGGTGTGAGCCACCAGTGCCCTGCTTGGCTCTTTACTTTTTAAAGATGCTTTTAGAAGCTGTTACAGGTGAAATGCCATGATATCTGCAATTCAAAATACATTATCAAAATATGTAGATGAGGCCATTATAATTGCAAAGTATCCTTAAAGCAGCTGTTAAAATTAGGTATGTGGGTGTTCATGATACTATTATCTCTACTTTTTGGGAAATTTTCTTTCTTTTTTTTTTTTGGGTCCGGTCATGGGGCCTGAACTCTGGGCCTGGGCACTGTCCCTCAGCTCTTCAGCTCAAGGCTAGCGCTCTACCACTTGAGCCACAGCACCACTTCTGGCTTTTTTCTTTTTGCTTATGTGGTGCTGAGGAATCGAACCCAGGGCCTCAGGCATGCAAGGCAAGCACTCTACCACTGAGCCACCTCCCCAGCCCCTTTTTGGGAAATTTTCATAACAAAAACTAAAACACAAAAATGGTTCATACAAGTATACATAAAAAAGTTGCCGAAGAACTTCCTGTTTTTTTTTGGTATTTTTATTTTTTTCAGCTTTAATGGTTATGTTATGCTTTATATAAATGAAACCACATGTATTTAAGGCATATAGTGTGATGGTTTCATATATATGTATTCTGTAGAACAATTACTATAATCAAGTTAACATATTGATCACCTTT